GTCGAAACAGTGTCGGGCGAGGGTCTCCCAGGGCCCGACACGTCAAAACCAACGAGTTTCGGTTCTTTTTCTGGCGCTCGAAATTCTTCCTGGTGATCAAGACTAAAGTAGGTTGGAGCATCATAACTGGAGCCCCAGATTCCAATCCATTTTGAGCGCCTCCCTGCTTTGTGTGTTGATCTGGTGGCTTCACCTCTTCCGTCCCTCCAGGGGTGCGGACGGAACTCGACCCACGTTCGACGCCTTCCTGCTTCATGCTGCTGCCTGCTTCTGCTTCTTCCGACCGGTGGGCACGGGTGCACTGGCCCGGGCCAGCGTGCAGGATCTTGCAGGGCCTTGCAGGACCCGGGCGCCTGACGTCATTGGTTACCAGCCTCGAACGCATCCCTGTCCCGCAGATAGACACGCCGAAAGGCGATGACAATCTCAGGGACTCGCCCTCAAAAAATAAGGGAATCCCTAAGGTTGGCATCGTGATGAGGAGATGCCCAGCATAGGGATAGGGATACGTTCCAGGCTGGTAATCATTGGTCTTTTTCCGCAGCGTCGACCCCCAGGGGTCTCCACCCCCCTTTCCGGTGACCTGCCCTTCCTCCCGAGCCGCCCTCGGACGGTCCCGAGGCCCCGCAGGGCCCCCGGAGGCAGAAGTCAGCCACGCGCAGAGGGGGGTGAGGGGAGGGGGGAGGGCTTCTTTGAAGCACCCCTGCTTCTTAGAAGGCGCGGGCCTTATCTATAGATGTAAGGCCGGCGCCTTCTAAGAAGCAGCCTCCTTCTAAGAAGCCCTCCCCCCTCCCTCCACCCCCTTGTGCGCGCCGCCAAAGCAGACGGCGAACCGCGTTCCGTCGTGATTTTCGTCGTGGCTCGGGAGGTCTGGGGCTGAGCAGGTCCCTGGGCCAGGCTTCCCTGCCTTTCCATGGAGCTGCGCGCGGGAGCCTGGCAACTTTACGCTCTGGTCATCGGAGCAGATTTGGAGATGTCGGCGCCTCGCCTCAAGCGGCCAGTCGGTCCCAAACAGACATTGCGGACTGAAGAAGAATGTGGCACGCCTCCTCCTGCTCCTCCTTCTCTTCCTCCTCATCCTCCTCATCTCCCTCCTCTCCCTCCTCCTCCTCCTCCTCTTCCTCTCCCTCTCCCTCTCCCCCCTCCCTCCTCCCCCTCTTCTTCCTCCTCCTCCTCCGACGCTCCAGACCTGGACCCCAGGCATACTCGTCCTGCAGAGCCCGGCCTGGCCCGGATCGGCGTAGAGATCCCGCCAGGGGGGAGGCGGCCGCCCTGGCCTGCGGGGGGGTGGGGGCCGCGTCAGGGCCTCGATCCTCGATCCTCGATCCTCGATCGATCGATCCTCGATCGATCCTCGGCCCTCGATCGATCCTCGATCCTCGCTCCTCGATCGATCGACCCTCGATCCTCGAGCGATCCTCGATGCTCGGTCGATCTGGCAGGATGGATCCTGGGAAGCCTGGCTGGCCCGGGCTCCCGGGCTGGCCCCGGTCGAAGCAGAGATCCCGCCGGGGAGGGCGGCCGCCCTGGCCCGCGCGCGCGTGTGTGTGTGTGTGTGTGTCTTCGCGTGGCCGTTCTCGGGCGCGGGGAGTGGCCACGTCGGGGCCTCGATCCTCGATCCTCGTGTTTTATTTTGTTGGTGGTGGTGCTGTTGTTGTTGTTGCTGTTGTTCTTGCTGTTGTTGTTGTGGTTGTTGTTGTTGTTAGTGTTGTTGTTGTTGTTGCTGCTGTTGTTGGTTTCGTCGGTGTTGCTGTTGTTGGTGTTGCTGTTGTTGTTGGTGTTGCTGTTGTTGTTGTTGCTGTTGTTGTTGTCGCTGTTGTTGGTGCTGTTAATGCTGTGGTTGTTGTTGTGGTTGATGTTATTGCTGCTGCTTCAATTGTTGTTGTTGTTGCTGTTGTTCTTATTTTTGTGTGTTTGTGTGTCTTTGTTGGCATGGAAGAAATCTAGGTTTCGGGTTTCTTCCAACATCCGCCTGCAGGATGACACATGCCCGACTTAGTTCAAGGTTGAATTCAGCATGTAGAACGACGCTGAAGCACCGAGGGGCACGGTAATCCACGCCACACGACCCGACGGAATTCAATTCTGAACGATCGGGGCCGCGATCGGTTCAAGGTTGCACGATCGACGCGGTGTCAACAACCTTTCCGCGCGCCGACGCTTACTCAGTGTTTTGGTTCTTCCATCTTTGAGACAGCTAGCTCTGTCTCAACTCATCGTGCAACTTACATGCGATGCGATGCTCGGTTGTACCCCATCCCATTCCATACGACCGGGTCGGAAACCATGCACGATGGCGTTCGTCCACCTCCTGTATGCTCTTGCTCCTTCACCCTCCTCCGCGTGGGCGGAAAGTATACACATATATATAATCCAATCAGTGATTGCACTGAAGAAGTCCACGCGGATATTGAGCGATTTGGCGAAAGTTTCCCGCCCATTTTGGTGGCCGGCTGGGTTCCCAGGCTCCCAGTTCCGGTTTCCCGGGTTTCTGGTTGTTGGTTCCGGGCTGATTTCGGTGGGTTCCGGGTTCCCGGGTTCCTGGTCGATGTCCTTATCGATCTCTTGATCGATCCCACGATTCATCAAACCATCAAATGATTTGGGCTTTTCTTTTCTCTGGTGTAAGATACATATATACATATATGTATCTATATATATTTATATGTATCGGAGGTGAGGGGGTGAGATCGAAGTGGAACGGAGAGCCCGTGCGGGCGAGGCGAAGCTGCGTGGGCGGGCGAGAGAAAGTCTCCTGTGGCTGAGGCGCGGCCGGACCAAATGTTTCTCTTCCAGGCGGCCGGTGCTGCGCGGTGTCCCGCCGGTGTCCCGCTGGTGTCCCGTGTGGCTGAGGCGCGGCCGAACCAAATGTTTCTCTTCCGGGTGGCAGGTGCGGCGCGGTGTCCCGCCGGTGTCCCGCCGGTGTCCCGTCGGTGTCCCGTCGGTGTGCCGATGATGATGTTGATGATGATTATGATGATGATTATGATGATGATGGTGATGATGATGATGGTGATGATGATGATGTTGATGGTGGCGATGATGATGATGATGATGATGATGATGATGATGATGATGATGATGATGATGATGATGTTGATGATGATGATGATGACGTCGATTGTGAGATCGATTGTGATATCGATAGTGAGACCGAATGTGAGATCGATTGTGAGATCGATAGTGATGATGATGATGGTGATGATGATGATGTTGATGATGGCAATGATGATGATGTTGATGATGTTGATGATGATGATGATGCTGATGATGATGACGTCGATCGTGATATGATTGTGATATCGATAGTGAGACCGAATGTGAGATCGATTGTGAGATCGATAGTGAGAGCGATTGTGAGATCTATAGTCAGATCGATTGTGAGATGATGATGGTGATGATGGTGATGATGATGGTGGTGATGATGATGACGTTGATGATGTTGATGATGATGGTGTCCCGATGATGATGTTGATGATGTTGATGATGGTGGTGATGATGATGTTGATGATGATGAGGGTGTCCCGATGATGATGATGATGATGATGATGCTGATGATGATGATGATGATGATGATGATGACGTTGATGATGATGATGTCGATGATGATGATGATGGTGTCCCGATGGTGATAATGATGATGATCATTATGTTGATGATGATGATGACGATGATGGTGTCCCGATGATGATGATGATGATGATGATGATGATGATGATGATGATGTTGAGGATGATGATGAGATGATGATGATGATGGTGTCCCGATGATGATGGTGTTGATGATGCTGATGCTGTTGATGATGATTATGGTGTCACGATGATGACGACTATGATGGTGATGCTGATGATTGATGATGGTGATGATGATGGCGATGATGATAATGATGATGATGATGATGATGATGATGTTGATGATGACGGTGTTGCTCGTCGTCGTCGTCGTCGGTCGTTGGTCGTTGCTGGACCGGGGTGCTCAGTGAAAATTGCCTGGAGCTCCGGCGCCGTTTTCGTGTCGTCGTCGTCGTCATCGTCGTCGTCGTCATCGTCGTCGTCGTATTTCATGAGCTCAGGCTTCGGCATCTTGTCAACGGGAGCCATGAGACCGCGCGCGCTGGTTCGGCGACCGCGATTGTCAACGGGAGATCGATTGTGAGATCGATTGTGACATCGATAGCGAGATCGATAGTGATATCGATAGTGAGATCGAATGTGAGATCGATTGTGAGATCGATAGCGAGATCGATTGAGTGAGACGTTGGTTCCCCCTCCCCCCTCACCTCCTTATCACCCGCAGGGTGGTGGTCGTCGTATAGGTAGATATATCTCCGCATCCACGGCCTCGCGGGCTGGGCCGCTGGTCCGTGACACCATGGATACGGGGTGCTCTTGTCACAGATGCCCCGCGCGGAACGTGTCCAAGCGATCGCGCAGCCACGGGATAGCGCGTCCCAGGATCCAGGCCGCGAGGGCGTGGACACGGACACGTTCTCGCTGGTCGGCGTCCTCTCCTCCTACCTCTACTGCTATCCGTCTGCTCATCTTTGATGTCGCTTTGGGGGGGGAGAGAGTACAACGGATGTCCCTATGTCTGTGGAAGTCGATTATAACGGAGAGGAAGCATGCTGCTAAATCATTTCCAGGTGTCTAAAAGATGTTTCAGCTAATGTTTTCAATCTGTTATAACAACATGTTTGGAACATGCATGCTCTCGAACATGTCTTACACATGCTAAATACATCTTACATTCAATCATCGGATTGTTCGAGTGTGCATTGTCATGGCATCCACAACTCTACGGTAGGTTTGCGTCGTGTCGACACGCGGCGACCCCAGCGCGGGCGTTCAAGGTTGAACGCCGCCGGCGACCCAGAATCGATCGATGTTGAACGATCGGACGTTGCGGCAGCGGCCGATCGTTCAAGGTTGAACGATCCCTGCGGTGTCAAAAACCAACGCTGGGGTCGGCACGACACGAACCTGCCGTATATTCTCCCTGTGGGGTGGGGGGGCTCAAAGCATATCCCCGGCGGCTCGCTGCCGGGGCGACTCCGGCAACGCAGAGCTATAACGTAGCAGCATGGCCCGGCGCAGCACGTCGCCGAGCGCCGGCTCCGTGGGAGGCCCTCGGGGCCTGCGAAGCTCCCTTAGGGCTTGTCGACTTTTCGCCAATCGACTTGTGAGAATCGAGCCAGATAAACCCAGGTAAATGCAGATAAATCGAGGTAAATCCAGGTAAATCTAGATAAATCTGGGTAAATCCAGGTAAATCCAGAGATCTCCAGGGAAAGTTCGAGCACTTCGCGGCCGCTCCAGCGCGAGTCGAAGGACGGCAGAAGTCGTTAAGCCTTTAACGAGAAGCATGCCCATCGAAGAAGAAACAACGCCATGAGCACAAACTGCTGGCGCTCCGCGCTGATGTCTTGGACCGGCGCTGGGCCCCCCCTGGGCTGCGCCGCCTTGGGCGCGCTCCGCGCGCGAGGGAGGGGGGTCCAGCGCAGATTCAAGGAATCCGCGCGGAGCGCCAAAAGCTTAAGCTTCTGGCGTTTGTTCTGCAAGACCTCCGTCGTCTTCCTACGCCTCCTCCTCCTCCTCCTACCCGTAAGGGGTCAACAAGAACAAACCACGACACAGACGTCGCAACTCGGAGCTCCGCGCGGAGTCCCTCGGTTTGGCGCTGGGGCCCTCCCGGTGGCGCCTCCGGTGCCGCCCTCTGGCGCGCTCGAGCGGCGCCAGGGAGGGGTCCCGGCGCCGGCCCCCGAGAGCTCCGCGCGGGCCTCGGAGGGTTCAGGTCTTCGGAGTGGCTGGCTCCCGTGACGAACGAACAACACACACCCATACCCATAAGGGGGTCGTTGGGAGGAGGACTGGCTATGGTTATGGGTGCGGGTTGTCGGACCCTGGGGAACGCTCCCGTTCGAGCGGGGACCCCCATCCGACAACACGCACCCATAGCCCTCTCCGACCCCCCTATGAGTATGGGTGTGTGTTGTTGGTTCGTCACTGCAGTCGGACTTGGTTGGGGAGGACGCGCGAGAGGCCACGCGAGAGGCCACGCTGCTACAGAACTGCAGGAGGCATGGGTCGCAAGACTCGACTTCCTGCAGGGGGGAACGTTCAAAAGCAGTCCAAACACAGAGTCTGGGGGTTATGTTTTGAATACTGTTTGACAATTTTGGCGCCTTTTTTTCTTGTGGGATATTCTTTATTTTTCGTCCAAAATCCCCCTGTAGGAGGACAGGCCCGACTTACCGCAAGACGCAGGGCACGAGGGTGTCCTCGATTTGGCAGGGTCGACCTGCCAATCCGGGCCGCCTGTAGCGGCCAGTCCCGGGGAGCCCTCGCCGCCACGGCTGGACTTCCTGCACGCTCTTGTGGCCAGCACGCGCTCTGAGGAGGGGCGCCCCCGGGTCCAGGGGCGCCGTGGGGACCATGGCGCCAGGAGGGGCCAAGGAGGAGGAGGAGGAGGGAGGAGGAGGAGGAGGGAGGAGGAGCAGGAGGAGGAGGAGGAGGAGGAGGAGGAGGAGGAGGAGGAGGAGGAGGGGTCCAGGGCCGCCACCATGATCCCCCGATGAGGCGCGTCTCTTCACACGGCGCTGCCTTCCTACATCTCGGCTGTGGGTCGAATAGCGTCTCCGCCGTTGGCCTGTGTGCCTTTCAAACCTCTGGCCAGTACGCGTGCGGCTGGTCCTTGTCAGGTCAAACAAGCATCTCGGCTCCCGGGGCCAGCTGTCGGGCCCCGGGGCCACGAAGCACGGATTCGGGGCGAAGACTCCGATTTCTGGGGCCGCGCAGGGACCGACAGCACACCGGCGGGTGTCCGGCCAGCCAGACCTCCCTCGTCTTCCTCCACCTCCCCCTGCACCTCCTGCCCCACCTCCTCCTGTCTATCTCTCCCGTCCCCTCCCCGCGTAACCGAGTCACTCGTGGTGCGCCACAGGCCTGCTGCTCTCCTCTCTCCTCTCTCCGCCTCCCTCCCCCTCCTGGGGCCCCTCCTCCGTTTCTCCCCCTCTGTCCTCCTCTCCGGCGCGCGCGCCACCGCGCGCGCGCGGGAAGGAGGGGGGGGAGGAGGAGGAGGAGGAGGAGGAGGAGGAGGAGGAGGAGGAGGAGGAGGAGGAGGAGGAGGAGGAGGAGGAGGAGAGGAGGAGAGGAGGAGGAGGAGGAGGAGGGAGGAGGAGGAGGAGGAGGAGGAGGGAGGAGGAGAGGCAGGAGAGGAGGAGGTAGGAGGGGGAGGAGGGGGGGGAGGAGAGGAGGAGGAGGAGAGGAGGAGGAGGGAGGTAGAGGAGGCGGGGAGGGAGCGGGGGCCCCCAAACGTCGCGGCGACCACGCCGTGCGGCGAGTCGGTAGAGATTGGGGGTGGCCGCGCGGTCCTCGGGAGACTCGGGCCGCTCCCCGAGGCGGTGCCTCGGACGACTGGGGCCTCCGGGCGGCGCGGGGGCGGACCGTGCGGGGAGGTGTTTTGGGCACTCGGACGCCGGTATCGCTCGCTCGGTCGCTGGCTCGCCCTCCTCCCCTCCTCCTCCTCCTCCTCCTCCTCCTCCTCCTCCTCCTCCTCCTCCTCCATCCTCCTCCTCCCTCCTCCCTCCACTCCCTCCTCCCTCCGCCCCCTCCCCCTCCTCCTCCCCTCCTCCCTCCTCCCTCCTCCCTCCTCCCTCCTCCCTCCTCCCTCCTCCTCCTCCTCCTCCTCCTTCACCCTCCTCCTCTCCTCCTCCTCCCCTCCACCTCCCCTCCTCCTCCTCCTCCTCCTCCTCCTCCTCCTCCTCCCTCCTCCCCTTCTCGTCCTCCTTCTCCTCCTCCTCCTCCTCCTCCCTCCTCCTCCTCCTCCTCCTCCTCCTCCTCCTCCTTCCTCCTCCTCCCTCCTCCTCCTCCTCCCTCCTCCTCCTCCTCCTCCTCCTCCTCCTCCTCCTCCTCTCCTCCTCCTCCTCCTCCTCCTCCTCATCCTCCCTCTCTCCCTCCGAGGTCACCACCCCTCAGTTTGTGACCACTCCGTTTTGGGATCCGCCAACAGGGACCTCCGACGACCTGGAGCACTTGCACGGGCAGGCGATCGGGAGTGGCGTAAGGGGGGGGGGGGGGGGGGCGACACACTGGAGAGTGCAGAAGGGTGCACCTTTGGTACACTTTTGAGGCCCTCAAGGGGCCCACCTGGGGCCCAAACGGTGCACGAAAGGTTCACCTTTCCTAGTACCCCTTCGCCTAACTACAGTCAACCATCCATGTGATTCAGAAACTTCCTCCTGTAACGCTGGGCCGGCGTTTCGTCATCAGCTTGCCAGAAAGCGGGCCCGGTTTCTTCAGCACGTTCGTCCCTCCAGGTTGAACAGCAGAGTTGGCCCAGGTCTATCTCGAGAAACTTCGGAAATCTGGCCCAGGGTGCATTCTTTCAGGCCACGGTTCCTTGCATGAGCTTGCCCATCGCAGGTCAGCTCTTGTGGTGCTCCCGGCTTGCCTGGCGACCTTTTGATTATATCAGCGGTCGAGGCCGAGTCGGGTGCAGTTATGTGGTCGCGCTCCTTCTTCCTCTTCCTCCCCCCTCGAAGAAATCGGGCACAGGGTTCGTCACTGAGCGACGCAAGAAAAAGAGGTTGTCTGCGCCGACGTTGGCGCGTAAGCTGCCCGCGTCAGGTCGCGCGTCAGCGCCCTCGTCTCTAATGTGGCTTGCCGCGCTGGCGGCCCGCGTAAGCCGCCGCGTAAGGTCGCTATGCCATCCCGCGCAAGACCCTTTCTTTCCGTCGCTCAACTGGTCATCTTGGCATCGCTCGGGCGTGTGCATTTTTCCTTCGGCGAGGACCACCGAGGAGCATCCCTGATCATTTGGCGAAAAAACCACGCACGAAGCCGAAAAAAGCACAGGGAATGGACGTCCGAGCGATGGCGAGTCATCATTTCGGCTGTTCCCCCCTCCCTTTCCGCGCAGCGCCCGAGGCGGCAGACGGCCGCAGGGGCTCGCTCGGCAGGAGGCGACTCTTCACGGACGCCTCGCACGCGTCCGAGGACTCCGACCGCGGCGGCGGCGCCGTGCACCAGCCCAACGCGCGCGAGGAGTCGGGGGAGGAAAGGGTACACTCACCAGTTTGAAACATATCCCTATCCCTATGTTTGACATCACCTCACCTCGATGCCGATCTTAAGGATTCCCTCAGTTTCTGAGGGCCTATCCCTAAGATTGTCCTCGCCTTTTTGCTCGCCCATCTTAGGGATAGGGATAAGTTCGAGGCTGGTTAGTACACAGTCAACCCGCGAGATGTCCGGGCAGTACGGCCGGACCGATCGAAGAAGAAAGAACGCCACAAACATAAATTGTTGGTGCTCCTCGCGGATGTCTTGGATCCGCGCTGGGCCCCCCGCCTGCGGCGCCTCCAGCGCCGCCCCTGGCGCGCTCCGCGCGCCAGGGAGGGGGGCCCAGCGCAGATCCAAGACATCCGCGCGGAGCGCCAAGAGTTTATGTTTGTGGCGTCTGTTCCTCTAGCCGAGGTATGTGATCGAGATCGACTCGGGGAGGGCGCACTCCTTCTCGCCATGCCTGCCGGATGCTCTTGTGCAGCCCTGGGGAAGGGTACCCATGGATGTTCTGTGTGTTCTGGCTGGCAAATGGACTCACGCTTTTTTGAGGAGGAGGAGGAGGAGGAGGAGGAGGAGGAGGAGGAGGAGAGGAGAGGAGGGGGGGAGGAGGGGGAGGAGGAGGAGAAGGAGGGAGGGGGAGGAGGGAGGAGGAGGAGGAGGAGGAGGAGGAGGAGGAGGAGGAGGAGGAGGAGGAGGAGGAGGGAGGAGGAGGAGGAGCTCCTGGTCTCCCCAAGGAGGTCGAGGAGCGGGACCGCACGGACCACAGGTGCTCCGCCCCCGGGGGGCAAGAGAGGCAGAGGGCCGCCGCGCGGGTGCGGGGCGGCTCGCGGGCTCGCAGAGTTCGCGGTGCTCGCGGTGTTCGCGGTGTTCGCGGTGTTCGCGGTGTTCGCGGTGTTCGCGGTGTTCGCGGTGTTCGCGGTGTTCGCGGTGCTCGCGGTGCTCGCGGTGTTCGCGGTGTTCGCGGTGTTCGCGGTGTTCGCGGTGCTCGCGGTGTTCGCGGTGTTCGCGGTGTTCGCGGTGCTCGCGGTGTTCGCGGCTCGCGGGCTCGCGCGGGCGCGGGGCGACTCGCGGGCTCGGGGGGTTCGCGGCCCGCGGCTCCTGGTCCTCTTCCTCCCTCGCCCTTACGAAAGGATCTTCCGAGCCTTCTATCCTCTATCGAGGACAGATTCGAGCCAGCCAGCGGCCGCGCTGAGCGACTACCCCCTGCGCACCCCTGTAGTGTCGAGAAAGTGCCACGCCTGCGATTCTCTGGACGACCGTCGTGCATGGCGGCCACGATGAGGGACCCCCTGCGCAGCCTCTATGGTGTCGAGCAAATGCCGCGCCTACTATGCCATGAACGACCGTCGTGCATAGCGGCCGCTGGGGATCATCCTTTGCGCACCCGCTGTGGCGTCCAGCCCACGTGTTCCTCAGGATTCAAGCAGTGGCGAAGCGTCCTGGCTCGCCTACAGTCCCACCAAGCACTGTTCTGAGAACCTCCAAGCACTGGTTCTGAGAACCGTTTGTGGTTCCCAGGAAATGCTCTTAGAACATGTCTGGTTGGGACTGTCTTGGTTTAACACATCGGGTTATTTGTTCTAAGAACATTGCTTTTGTTCTTAGAACATCTTGGGGTTCTAAGAAAATTTCGTGGTATGACTATAGGAATGCCGGGACGGTCGGTCCCTGCTCAAAGGATGTATGGCATTCGGTGGCAAATCACGGGAGCCTGGTACATCCTGTGAATTCCATCTTTAGCGTCGATTCGCGTCGATTAGCGTCTGGAGTCGAGGAGGTCGCGCCGATTTAGCGTCAGTTAGCGTCGATGTAGCGTCGGTTAGTGTCGATTTAGCGTCGATTGGCGTCGATTCGCAAGAGCCGACGAGATGGTATGGGCGGCTCCCATGAGCTGCCACCGAACATGGCATTCTTGCCTTCTTGCTTCCTTGCTTTCTTGCTTCCCCTTTCGTCCTCCTCTTCTGCCCCAGGGGGCGGCGCGAAAGCAAGAAGCCATTCGGGCTTCGCGCAGCGCGAAGTGTGAAGCGCGAACATAGCTGCCCCTTGAATGGAGTCCAGATCGGGGAAGATTTATGGCCATCGCGTCCGGGCGCGTACCTTGTGCTGGATCAGCTTGTTTGTATGGGGTGGTGTACAAACATCGTGCCCCAAAGGGATGCCATTTTTGTACACAGCCTCCGCTCCACAGTCTTGTGCCAGACCAGCTCGTTCGTGGGGGTTATGTACAACATTTGTGCTTCCGCCTGTGGAAGAGGGGGCCGCGTCGGAGTCGTGCCCTGTGATCTTCAGGAGTGGTGGCTATTGGTATCTGCCCGCCTGCATGGGCGGGCAGATACCCTTACACGTCAGTCGTTGAACTTGTGGACTCCGAGATCCCAATCTACTTCAAGCGCCTTCCTGCTTCGAGAATCGACACGTGGTTGTTGCTGTCGGCTGCTCTCTGGGCGGCCCGAATCCGATCTACTGTACCCGCCTTCCTACTTCATGTTTCCACCTTCTTGGTCCGACTGGCAGGTACCCGGGGCAACATCGTAAAACATCACGTCTGGTTCCCTCACGAGCTGGATCGCTCTGTGAGGGTCCCTGGGCCCGAACAAAAAAGCGAAAACGCCCGGCTCGAACAGAGCGAGACGCCAGTGATCTCCGGGGCGGCCGCGAGGGGCTGCTGATCCACCGCTCCCCGACCCCCGGGGGGCACGGCCCTGCGGCGGTGATTGGGCGTCTCGTATAATAGGGGGGGCGATAATTTAGGCTTCCCAGATAAGGTCCGAGTAGATGGGGTCGGAGGATCGCGCCGCATCGACGATGCATCGACGATGCATCGCCTATGCTGCTCGATGTGGAGCCCGATTATCTCCACTCCGACGTCGCCGATTCATCACCCACGTCGACGATGCATCGCTGTTTGCATCGCCGATGTATCGCCGATGCGGCGCGATCCTCCGGCCCCATATACTCGGACCCCATCTAGAAGGCCTCTAGATAAATTGGGTGGCAGCGAGGGCTGCAGAAGAGGGGCCCTTCAGAGCCCCTGAAGAGGCCCTTAAGGGTAGGGCCGGGGAAGTGCAACTTTCTCCCCCCCTCCGCATTTGTCCCTCCCCATTGAGCGACGCCCAAGTGGATATGGACATATTCTGGCGTGGCGGTTCCTCGCCGCTCTTCCAGTGGGGCCGCTCTTGGGACCCAAGGGGCCGTCCAACGAGTGACTCGGGGCCAAGATCGGCGGCGAGCGAGGGGGGGAAGTGGGAAGGCGAAGGCTCTCTCAGAAGGCGGCGGACTTCTCAGCAGCTCTTTCGCGCCTTCTGAGAAGTTCTCTGTGTCTTCGGGCAAAGCTTACAAGACTTCTCAGAAGGTCAAGGGACTCCCGAGCCTTCTGAGAAGGCCTGACCCCTCTCACTTCCTCAGGGCTCGCCGCCGACCTGTGTCTGGGACGCGTATGGTAGGACCCGATTCTTTCGTTGCAGAGGCTCTGCGGAGGGAAAGGTACGCATACCCCGCCACCCTTCGACCTTTTTCACCTTTTTGGGCCTCCTGGGAGGCCTGCGTCGCCACTGCTGGATTCGCCTCGGAATCCTGGTCAGAACGCACCTCGGGAGAGGTCCGGGGAGTTAGCGGTTTTGCATCCCCAGGACGAAAGTTTTACCTTCTTTGGCCCGGAACGATGGCTTGAAGTCTTGAGCAAACGCGCATGAGACAACCGCCGTCGGATCCCGTGAAGTTCGCGCGGATCCAATTGTGGCTTTGGCGTTTGCTTCGGTGGATCCGATTTCCGTCCGCGCGGATCCGATTTCGGATTTGCTGGATCCGTGTTCGGTCTTATTTTTTACGGCGGGTCCGATTCATATCCCGTTTTAAATTCATGTTATTGAATCAAAACGGGGAGCCGGAAGAAATCGGATGCGCGGATCCTGGAACCCGCCCGTGTTAAAATTCTATGGGGGAATGGGGTCGGTCATGAACGTCCAACTCATCATCGCCATTTGCACCTCGAGAGGAAAATCTTTCGTCCTGCGTAAGTTGTCGCATCTTTTTGTTCCCTAGTCGTCGGGGTCACGTCCGGTGAGACCCGATTCATTCGTGGCAGAGTTGGGAGCCCCGAAAAAAACAGGTGGTGGGATATCAGGTGGTGACCTGGAATCCCCAAAAAGTCACCGCTGGATTTGGGGACACGGGGTCACCGCCGGTTTTTGTGACTCCTGGACCTCAAAATGGGTAATGACCTAACCGCGGGGTGTTGTCACCACCACGTTTGGGGACTACCAACAGAGGTCAGGAGCGAAAGAAGCACGTACACGTACATGAATCCATGCTGGTTTCGAGAGTATGCATTGCGCGAATGTTCGTATCGCGCGGCGGGTCTTGCGGATCGAGGGGCCGTGTTCATGTACATAGCTGGGCGCGTACGTCCTTTGTGGGCTCCCTAAGAGGTGTTTTCGTGTCACCGCGAAGGCCGTGGGCTTCGCGCTCACAACGATAGCGGCCCCGATTCTCTGCCGACGCTACGGCCTGCCCATACCCCAGCGCTGCGGTGTCCTCTTCGCCTCGGTGCTGCTCCTCAACCTGACCGAGTCGCTGCCTCTCTACTGCCTCTCGCTCTTCGTGCCGGTGCTGGGCACTCTCGACGGGGTGCTGGGAGAGAAGCGCGGCATCCCTGAGACAGCCACCTTACTGGTGTCGAACTTCTTCACGAACGTCTCCTTCCTGGTGCTCGGGGCCTTGGTGACCAATGGCATCTTCGCCAAGTGCCGCATTGACCAGCGAATGATTCGGTGGTTGCTGCTGAAGGTGCCGATACAGAGTGGCTTGTTTCTGCTCCTGCTCATGCTGGGCACAACGGCAGTGGCGTCTGTGCTGTACTCCGCTTCGTTGATGCTCTTTGCTTCATTGAGGGGCTTCCTCTGCCAGGATGCGGGTAGAGCATCAGTCCCAGTACCAGTGGTTAAGCGCATTCTTTTAGGGGTCGCGTTTGCTTCCAACGCCGGTTCAACGTGGCTGCCCATATCGAGTCCTGTTAATTTGGTCGCAATGGGACTGCTAGGCAATTTCGACAAGCGACTGACATCGACGGAGTGGGCAGTCTTCGCAGTACCAGTATCCACCATTACGGTGATGGGCTCGTGGGCTGTGCTGATGATGTGCTTTCCCCTGCAGGCCGTCCAGGAGGACAAGGATGAGAAGAAGTCCTCAGTGCGGGCATCCTTAAAACGGAGCGCTACGTTCACCGATGCGGAGCTAATCCAGAGTTTGCCTGATGATGTACCGCACGAGCATTTCACGCCGGTGCAGGTCTTCTTCATGGCATTAGCTGTTATGGCAGTACTGCTGATCACCGCATTCCCTCCAGAGTTGGAGAGGCTAATCGGCCACCCTGCCATATTATCGTTGTGCGTTGTGGTTGTCGTGTTCGGCAGCGGCTTCATGACGAGGGAGGAATTTCTGCAGCTAGACTGGGACCTGCTCTCAATTGTCGGCGGCACGAACGTGATGGCCTTTCTGGTTCGCGACACGGGTCTCGGAGCTACCTTGTCCGAGGTGATTGTGAACCACCCGTACTTCGAGTATTTGCGTTTCTGGAGCATGTTGTGTTTGCTTGTGTGTGGCACCCTATCAGTGTCAACGTTGCTTGGCCACACAATGTCAGGCGTGATTCTTCTGCCACTGATCATAGCCGTCGGCGTCAAGGTGCAGGCTGCACAGACCGTTGCGCTCATTTGCACTGTGGCAGTTCCGTTTGGAATGGGATTCTCGCATTCTTCCTTCGACAACGTCGCAGCCCTCACGACCTCCATGAGTTTGAAGAAGGAAGACGCTGTGCTCACGAGGCGAGACTTCAATCGTTCGGGCATGCTGACGACAGTCTGGGGTGCCTTGGTACTCCTTTCAGTCGGGCCGTGGATCGCGGAGCAGATGTATGGGCCGCCGCCACCCTTGGTCGTGGCAGAGATCTCAGACACTCCCGAGGAGCTGAAGCCGAGGGTGGTCAAGGAGTCGCTGCCGGCTGAGGTGGAGCAGGTGAGGTGGCAAAAGGATCAGCTTGCCGACTGGAACGAGTTCCTCAAGAGGCCGGAGAAGAAGGCGTTCGCCGTCGGCACGATCAAGGGCATGCAGACGAGAGGCTGGGCGGCCACCTGGAACCACCCCACGCAGGAAGGCGCCAACCGCGCTGCGCTGGAACACTGCGAGCAGCTCGCCGACCAGTGCCGGGTGATCTACCCCCCGGGCCAGGACTCAGCTATACCAGTAGGAGGGGCCCTTCGCCGCAGGGACCTTTGGGTTTCGGGCCCAATGGTCAGGAGGAGGAACAGGCATCCATACCGCTACTTCGGTATCAGATCATGGGAGCTTCGTATAACCTCGCAATTCTGCCTTTCACGTCGATTGGCGTCGACTAGCGCCTGGGAGTCGATGAGATAGCGCCCATTGAGCGTCGGCTAGCGTCGATTAGCGTCAATGTAGGACCGATTAGCGTCGACTCGCGTCGATTTGAGCCGGTTCGTGAGAGCCGACAAGATGGTATGGGCGGTTCCCATGAGTTGCCACAGAACGCTACCTTGCCCCGCTCTCGCCTTTTCGGGCCTCCTGGGAGGCCCTCGTCGCCGCCGCTGGATTCGCCTCGGGAGAGGTCTGGGGAGCAGCGGACTCGGTACCCCTTGGTTTCCCCAGGTGGGACCTCCCGATCGCCGATCGCGGAGCGGTAGCAGCAGCTCGCGCGCCCGGGCTAGGCCACTCCACGCCCCCGTCACGCCGCGCAGCAGCGGTCACTCTTGCCTACGGTCCCTCTTGCGTGCAGCCGGCAGGACACCAATCGAACGGGGAAGGGCTTCGACGTGCAAGGCCTGCAGCAGCCGCCCGTGGCCCACCAGGCCGGGCGGCGCAAATCTGCCCACCTCGCCGAGCTTCGCCGGGCCCATCCTGGGTGTGAAGGCCGGGCGTCGGCGCTGTCTCACTGACCAAGCTCTGGGGGGCTCAGGGTGCCCTGGGCTCCCTGGGTCTCGACGGTTCTTTTCTATGGAGAGCGTGACGCTCCCACGCCGAAAGCGAAAGATCGTGGGACGTCCTGGGGTCTCAGGGTTGGGCTTCTCGTAGATGGTCTCTTGCGGTCGAGCTCCTACTGGAATGGCCTTTTGTTGAGGCACTCGACGTCACGATCTCTTCGCGACGTTGATCCCCAGGGTTGTGGAGCCCTTCCTGGGTACCCGTCTTCCCTTGCAAGGAGCTCGTTGATGGTCCCAGGGCCCGGCGAGGGCCCCTCGAGGCCGAACACAGAAAAGTCTGCCCGCCGTGAGTCTTTAGCGACGAGAGGGGGGTTGGAAGTCTTGCAAGGTGAGTCGTGCTCCTGTTCCTTTCGTGGCGCGAAGACCTCCCTGGAGTCTCCCCCCTGAGAGGAGGCCTCCCAGGAGTCCCCCAGGTGTTAAGCTCCCCGTGGCTGGTCCCTCGTGGTCGAGCTCCTCTGCTGCAGGGCCCCGCCTCGCACCCCGACGCTGCTGGCCCCATCCGGCCCGACGGCGGCCCCCCGAGAGCCGCAGGAGTGCGAGGAAGCCCCCCGCCGGCCGAGGAGAGAGCATGCAGCTATAAAACGACGCGAAGATCGGGACAAAATCGGATCGGGATAGCTCGAAATCTCTGAGAGTCGGCGGGTTTGGAGGATGTATTGGGCGCCGCGGCCGCTCCAGAGCGTTCCGGAACGCTCTGAGAGCTTTCCGGAACGCTCTGGAGCGATTTATCCCGATCCTAGCCCTGTTTTGAACTATATGCAAAAACATGCCTCGCGCATGTTTTTCCATATAGTTGCACTTCGATCATTGAATCGGAAAGGCCTTATGGCCAGTGCCGCCGACTCTGAAGGGGGACGACGACCACGGTGGCGTCGGCGGCGACGACGATGACGTGGTGCAGGGTCCTCAGGGATGCTTCGTGATGCCTCTCCGGAGCGCGCTCGTAGTCCTGGAGGGCAGTTTTTGGGCGTCTTGGGAGCATCTTGGGGGCCTCTTGGGAGCCTCTTGGGGCCTCGTGGGGGCCCTTCGGGGGCCTCTTGGGGCCTCCTGGGAGCTTCTCGGGGCCGAGGCCGATCGTTGAATTACCTTGTGGTGCACATCGGCGGCGAGCGAGGGGGGAAGCGAAAAGGAGAAGCCCTTCTCGGGAGGCGGCGGAGCTTCTCAGAAGCCCTCGCGCCTACGATTAAATCGTGCCTGTCCCTCTACCGGGGGGATTTTCAAAAATAGTAAAACAATAATCTTGGGACTATTCTTGAGTATTTTGCGGCATCTTTTGAGTATTCTTGGGGTATTGTTCATGTTTCGTCCAAAATCCCCCTGTAGGGGGACGCGCCCGACTTAAACCTACGAAGAAGTTTTCTGTGCCTTCGGACAGAGAGCTGGGGGACTGCCGAGCCTTTGAGGAGGCCCGCCCCGTCTCGCTGTTTCCCCCCTTGGGCCCGCCGCCGAGCACTGCCCTGGACACGTCTGGCAGGACCCGATCCCTTCGTGGCAGAGGCTCAGGGGAGGGAAAGGTACGCAGACTCCGCTACCCTTACGTCGGGCCTGTCCTTCTAAAGGAGGGATACTCCAGATTTCGTAATAAAGGGAGGGGGGTCTCATTTCGGGGGGGGTCTCTTCCAGGCTATCTTGGAGGGCCTGGGGGGTCTGGGGACGATGTTTTGGAGGGTTCTCCCACGGGGGAGGTCTGAAGTGGCTTGTCTTGGAGGGTCCAGACCCCCTCCCTTTTATTACGAAATCTGGAGTATTCAAAAATAGGCAAATAATAGTCTGGGGACGTTTTTTTTATTACCATTTTTGATTATCTGGGGGGTATTGTTTGACATTTTTTATATTTGTCGCCCAAAATCCCCTTGTAGGGGGACGCCCGACTTACAGGTACGCATACCCCGCTACCCTTAGAAAAACCCAGGGTATGCTAGGGCCGCTAGGGACTGGTTTCCCCCCAAACCGACGAAAACCCTTCCCAACCATCCCGGACCCCTCCGAAAGGCCTTCCGGAACCCTTCCCGGAGGGTTCTTGGAGGGCTTCGGGAGCCACCGCTGGATTCGCTTCGAAATTCCAGTCAGAACGCACCCCAGGAGAGGTCCCGGGAGTCGCGGTCCTGGTGCTCCCCGATTGTCTGGGGCACATCTGGTGGGACCCGATATCCCTAGTGGCACAGGCGCCTTCGCGTCACCGCGAAGGCCATGGGCCCGCCGCCGGGCAGACCCAGACCCTGCGCCGATCTGACGTTTGCAATCCGCGGCCCCACATTGCCCCGACCCCTCCTCCAGGATCGGCTTCTCGCTTCGGCTCTCCAAATATTGCTGGTCCCCGGGCCCGGCCACGGCCCCGGCAGGCCAAGAGAACGGGGAGAGCCAGCCGGATCTCGAGGAAGCTCGAGCTTCCTCGAGATCCGGCGAGGCTCCCCGGAGATCCGAGGTCAAGCCCCGTCGATCCTCGGAGCTCCGGGGAGCCTCGCAGCTCCGGGGCCGCCCCCCTCTCCGCGAGGCCCTCGCGTCGCTGCCGCTGCCAGCCGCCCCCGGCGGCCCGGCCGCGCCGCCGCGCGCCGCGCCCCCGCGCGGGCCCGCGGGGGCGGCGGGCGCGCCGGGCGAGCGCAGCGCCGGCCGCGCGGCGGGCCCCGGGGGCGGGCGGAGTGCGTCTGTCGGGCCAGACGCTTGGCATCGCTCGGACGTGTGCATGTTTTCTTCGGCGAGGACAACCGAGGAGCATCCTTGATCGATTGGCGAAAAAGCCATGCACGAAACCGAAAAAAAACAGGGAATGGACGTCCGAGCGATGGCGAGGACGAGATGCGGACATGATCACGCCGCAAAATAGGATTCAGTCGGGCCTGTCCATCTACGGGGGGAATATTCAAACATGGCCAAAAAATAGTCTGGGGACTATGTTTTGAGTTTTTGTTTACGGTGGGGCGTTTTGGGGGACTGTTTGACTATGGTTTTTTATTTTTCGTCGAAGATCCCCCCGTAGGAGGACAGGCCCGACTTAAGAATAGGAGCGTGTTTTTCCCCACCATCCTGCGGTGTTGGGTCTTCGTTTTGGAGACAGCGCCCCGCGTCTCCTCCTCCTCCTCCTCCTCCTCCTCCTCCTCCTCCTCCTCCTCCTCCTCCTCCTCCTCCTCCTCCTCCCTCCTCCTCCCCCTCCTCCCCCTCCTCCCTCCTCCCCCTCCTTGCTTTGGCTCTCCGCATGTCTCTGTTTCAGCACACCCCTCACACGCTTCGTGACCCCATAGGGAGCTCATCCGAAGGTCCCAGCTCCTCCTACGGTCCCATAGGGAGCTCCTTCTAAGGTCCCACTCATCCTAACACCCCATGATCACGTCCCAAAAGAAGAGCCTGCTTTTTTGCTGGATTCGGGCAAGTTTGCTTGCGTGGACGGGGGGCGGCCTAAGCCTGAAGCAAGCCGGAAACAACTTGACGTGCGGAGAGCGATCACACAAGTCGAAAGGCACTTGCACGCTCGTGCTCGATTGAAGAGGGGCGAGGGGGGGGGGAGGGGCGAACGCCATGCAAGTAAACCTGCCTGGATCTAAAGAAAAACATGCTCAAATCAGGACGGGAGGTTTTGGGCCAGTTTCGGCCTCGGCGCGCCCTCGCCCGGTCCCAGGACCGTCAACGACAAACGACTCAGCATGGAAAACCGGACCCAGGGCGAGGATCTGGACCTCCAGGGACCCCGCATCGAAAGAAACAGTTAGGGCGTCGCGTGTCTGGGAAGGGTAGGATAGGGAAAGGGGGGGTGCGAAATCTGCTGCGTGCCCAGGGATCCCACGTCTTGGAAGAAGCAAGACGGGGAGGTGTTTCGCCTCTTCCTCCCTCCTCTCCAAAGTAGCGCTGAAACAAGATATGGTTTCCAGGGGCCCTCGCCAGGCGGTGTGCGTCCGTCGGGCCGGACGAAAGTCGGAGCAGGAAACAAACTGCATAAACATAAGCTTTCGGCGATCCGCGCGGCTGTCTTGGATCCGCGCTTGGCTCCCCCCGGGCGGCGCCTCCGGCGCCGCCCCTGGCGCGGAGCTCGCCAGGGAGGGGGTCCAGCGCAGATCTAAGAAATTCGCGCGGAGCGCCAACAGTTTATGTTTTCTTCTAGGGTTGCGAAATCTGCTGCATGCCCAGGGCTCACACGTCTTGGAAAAAGCATGACAGAAGTGTCTCGTCCATTCATGGTTTCCAGGGGCTGCCTCCAGGCCCCAGGACAGTCACGAAACGGCTCCGGACGAACAAGTGGCCCTGGGGAAAGGGTCGGGACTCCTGGGGAGCCCGCATTGAACAAATTACGACATTGGATCTCTGGGTGCAGCGGGTTTCCGCCCCGCCGTCAAGCCCATTCCTCCATGTACATGGGCGCCTCCCGGCGCCAGGAGGCACCGGGAAAGCCAGCTGCGGGACCTGATTCTCACCTTGCTCTTTGTTATCCTACCCTTTCGTGCCCCCCGAGTCTGGGCTTCCCAGAGGAGTTAAGGAAGGCTTCCCAGACAGGATCGCGCCGTAGAAAAAAACACGACGGAAGATTTTCGACCAGGGCCCGGGGCCGCCACGCAGCGACTCCGGAAGAAAAGCCGGTCCTGGGGAAAGGGTCGGGATTTCTGGGCATCGCGACGTGAACAACTCAGGATGTCGCATTTCTGGCCTCTTCCCTCGCCCACCTGCCGCTGCTTGTCCTAGACTGGCGGCGAGCCCAGGTAGGTGGAAGCGAGAGGGGGCGGGCCTGGTCGGAAGGCTCGGAGGGCCTCGGGCCTGGCCGGGAAGTCTCGGGAGCGGCGCAGAGAGCTCGTCAGGAGGCGCGAGGGCTTCTTCCCTCGCCCCTTGGCAAGGCTCCGGGCTGCGCGCAGACAGCCACCCTGGGTATCGGAGGAGGAAAAGGTACC